ATTAACAAAAAGAATAATAGAATTAACAATGTTGAAAGGTCACCTGATACTAATTGTTTTGGTAAAATAAAACAAACTACAACACCTAAAATACTTAATGAAAAACCAATGATTGATATAGATCTTCTATATTGTGAATCAATTGAATCTCTATCTAATGTTATTATTTGATGTGATTCTGATATTTTCGATCTACTAGTATCCAATTGTTGACTTAATGATATACTTAATGCTTTTCTAATTGGTAAAATCAATGATATCATTGGTAAAGAGAAACCAATTAATATTGAGTATAAAATTGAATTCAATGATAATGTACTTGAAATATCATTAGAATTTGAAATACTCTTTAATTGATTCGAAACTATTATTAAAAATAATTGAGATGCTATTAAACCAAATATAATTGACGGTATAGTGAAAATTAAAGCTTTTGAAACTATTAGTTCAATGATAAAACTAAATTTTGCACCAATCATTCTAAAAACACCATTATTAAAAGTCATTGAATCAATATCAACCATTAATGTTGAATAAATTAATAAAATTGAAAGTAAAAGGAAAACAAAAACAATTATATTTAAAAGTTGACCCAAGTTATTTGAAATCTCTTTACTCTTATAAAGTTCAGTCATTACTGGTGTTGAAATCTCCACTTTATTAATACCAATTCTGTATAGTAACTTTGAACAATATTCATTTACACGTTGTAAAGTTTTATCCAAATCAGTACCATAATACATTGATAATCTTGGTGATGGAAATTTTAATATAATATATTCAACATACTGTTTTAAACTTTTAGTTTTCATTAATTCTTTATTCCATGTTGGATTAATATCTTCAAGGATTTTATCATATAATGAATCAATATCTATCATTAATGATGGTATTTCTTTTAAGTTTAAATCAATACCTAATTCAATAGGATGTTCAATAGTATCGTATAATCCAATAACCTTTAATTTCGTATAAATAAAAGGTGATGAATTAGTTTGATTAATTGATATCATTGAATCTAGTAATAATGTTGATAATAATTTAACTGCTGGTACTTTTAAATAAATTTCATCTCCAACTTTTAATTCTAAACGATGTGCTGTATCATTCTTCATTAAAACTGTACCTTTTGGTTGTGGTCCATCATATCCAAATGTTGATTTAATACCCATTCGATTCTCTTTTCTAAAATCAACTAATTGAAATCCTAAATATACATGATTTGCTATACCACCACATCGTTTATCTAAACAATTACTTTCTGTACATTCAATACTACTATCATTTGAAAAATATCTTGCTTCAATATTATCTTTAATAAATTTATCACAATAAGATACTGGATATCCATTTGTATCTATCATTTTAAATCTTGGTGCATTAAAACTATAATCATAATAATTTTTAGAAATCGATGATGTTGTTGTTGATTTTAATTCAAATTCTTTTTTTGTTTGGAAATTAAAAGTTGCATCAGTTAAAATCTGATCAATCAATTCATAATTTAATCTAACATTAAAACCTTCACCTAAATTTTTTTCTTTACTTGATATTCTTAAATCTATACCCAATGCATCTGAATCTGCTTTACTTAAATAAATTACTGAAATATTTGATATAACTGATAAACCTGTAGCAACTAAAACTACAACTAAAAAACATGATATAAACCCAATACTAAAATTTAATTTACTCCTTTTTACACCATTTATTGAAAATTTAATAGTTGATTTCCATTCATGTATTATTTTACTAAATTCAATTTTTTTTAGTGTTATTAAAATTATTATTATTATTTTTTTAAAAAAATCTAATATCTTTTTAATTATTATTTTAAAATTTTTATTAATTTTATTATAATTATTATTTTGATTATTATTATTATTATTATTGTTATTATTATTGTTATTATTATTATTATTATTATTATTATTATTATTACTATTATTAATGTTATCGTTTTCTGATTTTTTAATATCTACTAATTCAATTGCTTCACATTCACCAATACTACTTCTCCAATTATCGTAAAAATTTTTATTTATTAATTTGTTATTATTTTCATAATTATATTCATTATTGATATTACTTGTTAAAATTGCATGATTTTCATTGTGTTCTCTATTATTGTTATTAAAATTATCATCCTCTTCATGATAATTATTTTCATTATCATCTTGATTTATATTATGATAATCACTATCTGTATAAACCATCTCTATTTAAATTATTATTTTTTATTTTTTATTTATTTTTTTTTTAATTATTTTTTTTATTTTTATTTTATTTTATTATTATAAAAAAAAAAAAAAAAAAAAAAAAAAAAAATATATGTGTATATAAAAAAATATTTATCTACAGTGTTAATTAATTAAATAATTAATATATACATCCGTTTTTTTTTTATTTTTTTTTTTTTTTTTTTTTACACAGTGATCTTTTTTTTTTCGAATAATTAAAAATTAAAAATGATTATTTGAATAATTTTTATTAATAATTCTAAAACAACGAAAAATAAAATAAAAAAAAAAAAAATTTTGAAACGTGTGTGTATGAGTGTATGAGTGGTTTGTCTTTTTATTTAAAAATTTTCATAAACATAAGAAAAAGAAAAAAAAAAAGAAAAAAAAAAAGTCTATTTTTTTTATATTTTTTTTTTTTCATAACCTTATTTTCCTGGCACATATAGAAAAACAAATCGAATGCCTATGTAACCCCAAAAAGAACCAAGGTGTCAAAAAAAAAAAAAAAAAAAAATGATTTTTTTAACTTTCACACTTTTTTGGGTGCATTTTTTTACACATCGCGCAATCTAACCATACAATTTTTTTTCGGTTTTTTGGGTATTTTTTTTCTGTTTTTTTTGTGAAAAAAAAAAAAAATAGAAAAATAAAAAAAAAAGTTGGGTGAAAGATTGTTTTAAAACTTGAGGAAAAAAAATAATAGAAAAAATGGTTTTCTTCAGTTTTTTTCCTTAAATTCTTGAGATTGTTTTCCAAATCTTTTTTTTTCTTGGTTTATTTTAAAATGACCACGTTATTAATGTGACCACGTTAAAAAAAAACCTTATTGCCAAAACAGATTTAACACACCATTTCTTTTATTGTCGAATAAAATAAGAATATAATGAATAATTAGATGGTTAAGCTAACCTAGTGTGCAACATCAAACTCATTTATTTATTTTTTTTTTTGCTTCGAAATTATTTTATTTATTTATTTATTTTTTTATTTACAAACTTGATACTATGATTTATATGGTTAATGATTAGTTTTTATTATTGAACCCTTTTTTCTTTAGAATTAATTGTGGTGAATTTAAAATATCGATAACTTTTTGTTTTATTTCATTCATTGATTCACTATCTATTGATGTATTATTACTACTACTGTCCATTTCATTTTCACTTTTTTCTGGTGAAAATAATAGTTCTGTTAATGATAAACTATTTCCATTCTGATGCAATTGTTGTTCTATACCATTATTATCTTTATTATTATTATTATCTTTATTATTGTTATTATTATTATTATTATTATTATTTATTAATGCTGGTACAGAATTTACATTAATTGTATCGACATCTAAACAATGTTGAAGAAATTCCTCCATTGTCATTTTTCTAATTGAATTTGGTAAATTTAGTAACTCTGATTGTAGATTTTTTTTCAATAGTTCACTTAACATCTTTGATTCATTTCTTAAACTTTCAATATGAGTATCAACTTTTTTTTAAAAAAAAAAAAAAACATTAATAAAATGATAGTCTAAAGTTTTCTTTTGAATTTTTTAATATTACCTTCTTTGTCAAAGTGTTCTAAACTAAACTTTAATACCTCATATGATTCATTGTTTGACATTCTATTTTTTATATATAAAATATATGTATAATATGGGTTTCAATGAACTGAAAATTAAAATTTTAATTTCGCAAAAAAAAAAAAAAAAAAAAAAAATTGGAGGGAAAAAAATTTATCAAACAATATAACCCCAAAAGTATAAAGAAAAAGTTTTTATTTTAAAAATTATAATTTTTAAAACTATAGTTGTAAATAAGAAAAAAAATTCTTAAAAAGGATGTTTACACCTTCATTTTAAATATAAATGATTCAAAAATAAAAAAATAAAAAAAAATAAAAAAAAAATAAAAATCTTTTTTTTTTTTTTAATTTTTTTTTTCTTTTTTTTTTTTTTTTTCAAATTTAATGATGAATAAATTATTTATATTAATACTATTATTTTTATTAGTAATAATAAACGATTGTATTGGTTTATATATTTATATGAAACCATTTACTAATAGTGAATGTGGTGGTGAAAGTGAAGGTATTGGTTATATTTTTAACCAAAATCAGGATTCATGTATTATATTATCAAACTCAACCAATTCGATAAACTCTGGAATGGAGATCAACGTATTTGGAGAGATTGCATCATTTCAAATTTTTAATACATTAGATTGTAAAACCAATTCAAATGATCCAAAGCCAATTGCATTTGCATTTAAACATAATCAATGTGTTAATTTACCAACAATGTTTAATTATAATTTTAATGAAACAGATAATATCAATTCATTCAATACTGATAATGTTAATCAATATTTTCAAATGAATATAATTTCATCACAAATTGAAATTAATCAAATAATCGATCAAGTATATGGTGTAAAGAAATTTCAATATCAAACATCAAATCAATGTTCTGATTCAAACTTTCAATTAATTCAATTCTTTACAAATAATTTTAATATTACCTCCTCATCCTCTGCTATTACTACTATATTGTGTAATTCCCAAAAAGAGCCAACAATTCAACAATGTTCAAATGGTGGTCAATGTGTATTTGAATCTTTATACTTACCTTGTTCTGAAATAATATTTGAAAATGATTATAATTTGGTACAAACATGTTAGGATGAAAATAAAAAAAATAATCTATAAAAAAAATTTTGTTTTATTTTTTATTTTATTTTATTTTTTTATTTTTTCTTAATTTTGTTATCTTTTTTTACTCTCATTATTATGGGTGCAATTTAATTTAAAAATATGTGTTTTTGCATACAAATTTAATTTGCATCCTTAATAATGGGAGTAAAAATAGAAAACGAGTGATAAGAAAAAAAAAAATTCCAACTAGGTCATAATTATAAAAAAAATGTAAAATTGATGCAACTGAGCACTTTTTTGTTAAAAATAAAAATAAAAAAAAAAATAAAAAAATAATTTGGATGAAAAGTATTATGAAAAAAAATTCAAAAAAAAAAAAAAAAAAATTCAAAAAAAAAAAAAAAAAAATACAGACCAAACACACAGATAGATATTACCAAATAAAACCAAAAATAAAAAAAAGAAAAACTATAACTAATTATTCATAATACACTCGTTTAATATTTAATATCGTATGGTCTATAGAAATAGAAATGTTCAAATTTCGAAAATTATTTTCATTAGAACATGATGTTGTGCCAAAGATACCAAATAATCAATTGCCTCAAGTAGGATCTGAAAATGTTGTATACAGAACTACATCTTCAAAATCAACACCTATGGACTGTAATAACAATACCAACAATAACAATAACAATAATAATAATAATAATAATAACAATAACAATGGTATGAGTCATAGTATTGGAGCATATTCAACAACACCACCAAATAGTAGTTTTTTGCAATATCACCAAAGAAATCAAAGTGGTACATCAGGTATTACAATTATGAATCCAATGAAAGTCAACAACAACAATAATAATAATAATAGTAATAATAATAATAATAATAATGGTTATGATCAATTTAAATTAGGCTCATCCCTTAATACTAGTAGTTTATTTCAACAACAATATTTAGATGATGATGAAAAAGCTAATAATAACAATAATAATACTATCAATAACATTAATATAAATAAAGCCTATCAACAAATTAATTATGCGCAATCTATTAAACTTAGAATAATTGGTAGAGATAAAAATGGAACATTGATCATTGCTAGATCCTCTAAACTAGATGTATGTTTTACTATTTCTAATAATAGTAATATTATTATTACTATTACAATTGTTAATACTAATAATAACAATTAGGGAGTTTTAAATACATATATAGATTTATTTGATATATCTAAACAAACATTTACAACAATACTTGTTTATAGTGGAAATATTGTTAGTGCAGCATTAAGTGGTGATATAAATAAATCATTTTTAGTTTTTACTGTAAAATTACAAGAGAAAATAATTGAAAATCAAAATACTTTAGAATGTAAATTATTATTCTGTACAGTATATATACATAAAATTTCAATAATTACTAATGAAACACATACATATATTATATTATTATAGTATATTCATCATTTATTTATGAAATTAATAATAGGAAAACTCAAACATTTATACCATTAGAAGCAAAGTCACATCACCCATTGACATATCATTTTTTACCAGGATTTCATGATAAATCAAGTATGACATTATTATTATTTGTATTTGATGAGTGTTATACAGTAAAGATTCAATTAAAACTTGATGATACCAATCAGCAAATTGTTACACCTAATAAAAAATTCAATAAGACTAATATCTATAAGAAATGTTTTTGGTATCAATATGACTATCATAATCAAATTCTATATAGTTTACAATTGAAACTTCGAAGTAGCAGTAGTAGTGGTAATAGTGGTGGAAGTATCAACAATAATAATAGTAGTAATAATAATGGTGGATTAAATAATAATATAAATAGTGAATCGATACTAAGGGCATGGACATTTACAGGATCAAAAGTTGTTAATACAATCGATGGATTACCATTACATTTGAATATAAATGATGCATCCAAAGTATCTACCAATATACCATTCCCATTGAACGTTTCAATGTATCAAGAGACATCTACTAAACCATCACACACATCATCAAATCCAGTATTCCAAAATATACACATTGTAAAATTACCAAACATTGGCTACTGTCTATGTCATCAAGAAGAGTCATCATCACATTCTTTATCGATTAGAATTTCAATATATCTATTACATTTGAAACAAAAGATTAAGTATTCAATACCATTGAATACTATCGATGATGGTTGGCTATCATTGTCAAAGACTAGAGTTTTGTTTGATAATTTCGGTAGTTTATTAATTATCTATGTTCCAGGTTACTTCTTTCAATTCATTGATTGTGCACATGATCATGAACCAAGTTTCGGTATAACATTGTATAGCAGAGATTTATCTATACCATTGGTCAAACAGACATCCCAAGATTCCTCTGATGTACTTTCAATTCGTAGTCCACCACTACCAAATAGAATTAGTACATCTGTTATACCATTTTATTTCTTAAATGGTAATATTAGTAGTAGTGGTGTTGGTGGTGTTAATGAAAAAGGTCATAGTGGTAGTGGTAGTAGTGGTGGTAGTAGTAGTAGTGGTAATAATAGCAATAGTAATATTAATGGAGGTAATAATGGAAAGGGTGAAAATGATAAATCCAATCCAAAGAATAATAGATACCTATTCGATTATTCCAATGGTGTATTATATCATTATCAATTCGATAGAGAGGCTATTAGCGATCTATTTAAATCTAGTATGGATCAAGGATCAGATGTTCAAGCAATGCATTTAGCAGTTATTCATATGAATGATGTTGAATTGGGTAGAGGTCTAATAACAATTGCTGCAAAGAATAATTTAATTACAATCGACCTCTTTAAAGAGTATATATTGGCATGCACCTATCATGCCTTGAAATCCATTCAATTGGAGAATGGTATTGGCAATGCTAATCATTTGGATCATGTTTACATGAATGCATTACCAATAACATGTGCAGAGTCCATTGAAAACTATCAACCAACTAGAAAACTAAAAGATTTAGAAATCACCACTATAACAACACAGATTCCAAGCTCATTACTATTGAAAAAAGAAGAGAATAGAAAGAGATTGAAATCATTTGATATCACCAAATCAGAGATACTTAATAAGGATGGACCTTCTTTTAGTGGATTTTGGAGAAACTTCTTTGGAATGGATGAAGATTTCGTTCATGATCATAGTAATAGTTTAAGTTCTTCACTTAACCTAAACAATCTAAATGCTGGTAATGTTAATCAAATAAATGGCGGTAATTCATTTAATAGTGGTATCAGTGCCAACAATGGCCCCAATGGAGGCTCTGGTGGTAGCAAAGGTGTATTTACCACCTCAAGTGGTAAAAATTTAATAATTAACAATTCAAAATATGATATCGACCCACATCTATTCGATAACTATCAAGAGGAACCGCTAAGAGATCTATCAACTTACATCAATTCATTAACTGAATTCCTTTACTCAGCTTCACAAAAAGAAAACAAAGATAGATTAAGTGAATGGTCAAACTATTTCCGTCATATTCAAATTAATGTTATAAATCTATTATATAAAACAATTAAAATTTGTTATGGTGGTAGTAATAATTTAAATAATAATAACAACAATAATAACGACATTGACATTAGCAATGACAACAACAATATTAATAATATTATTAATAATAATAATAGCAACAATAATACAACAACAAATACAACAACCGCAACAACTAGAAATAAAAAATCAGAATCAATTTCAATTAGAGATATGAAACATAACGTTAGATTAATATTATTTGAAACTATGGAAAAACTTTACAGTGCAATTGAAGAATTGTATTGCCCATTTCCAAAGGAATTTTATACACAATTTACAACATTGGGATTCTTTTGTTTACAACGTTCAATATTTTTACAATTCCTACAAAAAGGTATTTTCATTATCACTGGTCCATTTGTAAAGATCTTGAAAAAAGAATTCCCAAATCAGGAGTTGTTATCTATTGATCAAAGAAATTTCATTAATCAAATCATTTTACAACTACGTGATCAAGATAGTGTTATCGAGATGTTGAAATCGGATTTAGCAAATACCAACATCATCGCTGAACATTTAATTTCATTAGCAACTCAAAGCATTCATCCAAAATCATCATTGGATCCAAACACTGATAATCCTGATCATCCTGATGCTCAATTCATTCCATTGTTTTGTTTACAAGATTTCTTAAAAGCTTTATCTGATACAGCAAATCCAAAAATTGGTGGCATTCATTCAATAACTCAATCAGCTTCAACATCTTCGAATCAATTATTATCCTCACAACCAATTCCAATGAACAATAACAATAATAGTAAATTCTCAACCCCTCCAACTTCACCAATTAGAGGCAATGCTCAACAACAAGCCTATAGTCCAATTAATAATAATATATTATCAAATTCCTACCAACCATTTTCATGCAGTCCCATAAATTCAAACTTTTCTCATAGTATGAGTCAAAGTTTAAATTTCGCTTCAATCAATCAAGCAACTAATAACAATACTAATAATACTATTGGTAGTGGTTTAAATAATTTGAATCATCCAATTCATGTCAACAGAGCTCATATACAAAAAGCTTACACTTTCTTGGATCAAAATTTTAATAGAATTCAATCTCAGATTTTTGAAAATATAAACAATTGTAATAAAATGGAAGATAGTATTAATTAAATAAAATTAAAAAATAAAAAATAAATAATAAAAATAAAAATTAAATAAGAAAAAAAAAAAAAAAATTGATTACTAAAAATCTAAAAAAATTTTTTTTTTTTTTTATTTTATTTTTTTTTTTTTATTTTTTTTATTTTTTTTTCATTATGCGAGTATAAAAAAAAAAGAAAAAACGAAAATTTTTTCAATTTTTTTTTATTTTTTTTTTTTTTTATTTTTTTTTTTTTTTTTTTGAAAACGAAAAACTTTTTTTCTTATTTTTTTTATTTTTTTTTTTTTTTTTCCCCATACAAATTATTTATATCATTATTTGTTTCAAATAAATTCTTAAAAAAAAAAAGATGGCAACACATATTTTATTCGAAACAGCCACTGGTTTCAATATTTTTCAATTATCAGGTATTGAATCAATTGCAGAATTTACTGATCAAGTACAAAAATCAATGCAAGATTTCAGTAAATTCAGTAAAGTTTGTAAAATGATTGGTACTCTCCCATTCACATCAGCAGAGAATGCTTTAG